TTATTTTCTTGCTAAAATGACATTTGCTTTTTTCGATAATGCAAGGATATTAGGTTATGAATTTCAGCCTAAATACTAATTTTCATAAATAGCACTTCATTAACTTAGATATACCAAAATTGGGTTTAGGAAGATACTGTTATTCTGGAAATACATTAAAAGGATAATAAAATATACATTATTTACACTCACCAATTCATATTCCAGAAGAGGGCATATCGTAGAAAATATTCAGTAGTTTAGTGGAGGATGATACAGAATTTGCTTTTCTTAGAATGTCTTATAAAATGTTCATATAACAAAATGACATTCAGTAGGCCTGCATTACATCTACCTTATAGTGTTTATTTGCCATCGACTAAACTGACTACTGTCACTAGAGAAGAACTACAAAGCCATTAAGCAGTCTCTGACCAACTGCAGCAAGGCAGGAGGTCTGCTAACATATATGGTGCTTAAGGTGTGATTGACATAATTTTCTGCATTCACTATTTGAAATTATTTAAGAACTTTATATTTAAAAGAGTAATTGTATCCACTGATAATGCTTATCCTATTCTGTTGTTCGATACCTACTCCATAAAGGAAAATTATCTTGTAATAAAAGGGTTTTTTTCTATTAAGAGAGTACCAGTTTTGTCTATAAGCTTTCAGTTTTCTAGTACTAATGCTTATATTGTAAAACTATTGCTACATAACCAGTAATCACAGAAAATTTCCCCCTTGCATATTTCTTTAAATTTCTTTCGAAGGTATGATATTGGTAATTAACTTACTCTTATCTGTCAAAACCAGAGTCAGATGCTAACATGTGTTATTGCTAGTTAATTAATGGTCTCAAATCTATTTGCTTTGCTTCCTTGCCTTTGCCTAGTCTGAAGGCTGTAGCCCTGAAGATAGTAGCAAGCACCAAGTCAGTTTCCAAAAATTGCCTATCAGCTGCTTTAGGTGACTCAGCACCCTGCCTCACTCAGCTTTAGCAAGCATTAGGCTCACCCTAGGAGGAGTAGAATGTGGGCTGGGAGAGCTACAGCTGGCTACCCAGGCTTGCTATGGGATTGAGAAAAAAGGGAAGAATTTACATTTTGAATTTCCCTTAAATACCCTCCTCCTTGGGTCTTAATCTTCATGATGTCCAAAGGCTTCCCAGACCTGACCCAAACTCGGGCACTGTCCTCACTAGGAGATTAAAAACCAGAGCACATCGTCCTGTTAGAAAATAACCTTTCCTCAGACCAGGGCCATTTCCTCTGCATAAGATTGTGAAATTGGGCTTCAGTGATAAACTTGAGACCTCTGTCTTATAGGCAGGAGTGAGTCAAGGCCAGTAAAAAATGTTAATAGCGAAAGTTTTTAAAATCTATTCTGAAAAGTTACTAGGGTCTGGGGAAAAAGAAAATTATCCATGTTTTTGTTTTTTCTGTAAAGACCAATTTGAGGTATGATATAAGAAGGTATTGATAAAACTAATATACCAAAGAGTTATGTAAAATGTGTTTTATTAATTTTGGTCCCCTTTTAGAGACATTTTTATTTCTATCTTGAAATGAGTCGTCTATTTTCATAAAAATAAAGCATTATTAACATGCTGTTTATGTGAGATAACTTGAATGCTGTTCCTACAAAAACTAGATCTTAACTAATGCCATGTTTGTAATAATGGTGATTGTTAGATTTTTATGAAGAATTAGTTAAGCTGGAAATATACTGTAGCAACATTGAGTTTAAAATTTTGGACCTCAGACACTGTGGCTGTCTAATATAATCCTTTCAAGTTTTTCTGCATTTTCAGTAAATGTAGTATACTTGTTGTACAGCTCTCAGTAATTTTTTAAAGTTTATGAAATTATATTTATCAAATAAAATTTTTTTATATAATTAAAAGTGTTTTTCCATCATTTAAGCATGTTAAGCCTCTCTGTTCATCTTGACCAGCACTGCCAAATTTGTTTTGAGTTAAATTTTACTACATTTATCCTCCATTACAGTATAGGAATACCATTATGCCTTTCGCTGACTGCGATTTTTAAAATTCTAGGAGGTCTTTGGTTATCCAGGTCTTTTTTACATCATCAACACAGTTCCTGAGAAAGGGGTCTGGATAGAAATGCACCAACTGTAAAACCAGCACAGTTCAACTAGAAAAAAATTACATCATTCATGAATAGCCAACCAATGTGATTTTGGAAATGTCTTGGTCCATTGAAAATACGTGCTTTCTTTAAAATATAACTGATATAATGTGTATTTATATATAAAATATTCTAACCTAACGTCAGTCATTATTTTTAATGCTTCCTCAGTTGCCAGTTGAAACAATTGTTTAGCCTACTTTTATTAAAAAAGCAAGCCATTGTCTTTTCCCAAATGTTAGTATTTGCAAAGGATGACTATGTATGTATGATATATATATATATAATGTATTTTTATTTCTGAAATGATATAATATGATCCTGGACAAGTCAATTTATCTAAGCCTTTTTATTTAAAAAGAAGTTGAGGGTTTGGGCGATCTTCAGGTTAATTTCAGTTTTTAACTGTTGTACAACATGACAAATCATGTTTTTAATGAATGAGAAATTTAGGACAAAAAAAATAAAATTTTATGTGCAGTATTTTACCAGAAAATTTAGTGAATTAAAAAATAATTCATGTTTTATTTTGAAGTGCTACTTGATTCGCAGGACAAATGGAGATAAGTCCACATGTTTCTGAACACCTCTTCTTGGAAGTGGCAGAGGGTCCTCTGATAAGTCAGACTTTTTAATATAATTTCTTAAAGGTAAAATGGTTTCTATTCAAGTAAAATTTGTAAATAGCAAAGCGCATGGAGTTTAGGATTATATTCTATCACTTAGAGTAAATCTACACTTCTGTGTAATCCTTACCCTAATTCAGATGAAGAACTTTCCATTATCCCAGGAAGTTCCCTTGTGCTTTTATTCCTTCCTGCCTTTGGCAGCCATTTTTCTGTTTTTTATTCATAGGTAGTTTTGCCTGTTTTTGAATTTCAAAAAAAGAATGGAATTATACAAAATGTTCACTTTTGTACCTGGCTTTGTTGCTCAAAATGTCGGTGAGATTCGTCTGTGTTGTACATATCCATAGTTTGTTTCTTTTTGCTACTCAGTAGTGCTCTGTTTCATGAACATCTCACAATTTATCCTTTCTCTTGTTTATGGACACTTGAGTTATTTATAGTTTATGGTGATTACAAATAAAGTAGTTATAACATGCTTTGCGGACATGTTTTCATTTCTCTTATGAAATAACTAGTAGAATTGCTAAGTCATAAGTTAGATTTATGTTTAATTTTATAAACTGCCCAAAAGTTTTCTAAAGTGATTATATGTTACATTTTATGTGCATTTGTCACAATTATGAGAGTTCTAGTTGTATTATATCATAATTTTAATTTACATGAGGACAAATGATGTTTCTTTTTTATATGTTTATTGTCAATTTATCCTCTTATCTGTTCATGTCTCTGGCCATCTCTGGCCATTTTAAAATTGGTCTGCTTGTCTCATTACAGAATAGTTAGAATCCTTTATATAAGGATGTAAGTCTTTTGTCAGATACATGTATTGTTAGCATTTTCCCCTAATCTTTAGCTTACCTGTATATTTTCTTAATGGTGACTTTGAGGAGCTGAAGTACTTTATTTTGATGAAATACAGTATTTTTTACTTTCTTGTATCTTGTCTAAAATATCCTGTCAACCTCAAGGTCATGAAGATACTCTTCCTATGTTTTCTTCTGAAAGAAGTATAGTCTTAACTTTTATGTTTAAGTCTATGGATCCATCTCAAATTCATTCATGTATGTGACCTGAGGCAAGGATTGAGGATTTTCCTTCCTCCTCCCCTCTGAAGGGTATCTGTTTGAATTAGGTTCATTTGTTGAAAATATTCTGCATCTCCATTGAATTTATTTGGTGCCTCTGTTTAAAATTAATTGATTATGTAATGTGAGTCTATTTCTGGACTCTGTTCTGTTCTGTTCATTTATCGTTAACACCAGTAGCACACTGTCTTCATTACTACAGCTTTATACTTGGCTTTGAAACCAGGTAGCATAAGCTCTAACTCTGTTGTCAAGATTGTTTTGGCTATCCTAGGTCCTTTGCATTTCCATATAAATTTTTGAATCAGCTGATCAATTTCTTTAAAAAAAAAAGGCTGATATAATTTTGATTTGAATTGCTCTGAATCTATAGGTCAATTTGGAATGAACTGATATCTTAACAATATTGAGTCTTCTAATCCATGAACATGATATATCTTTCCATTTACTTTAGATCTTTAATTTCAGGAATGTTTTGTAGTCTTCAGGGTAGACACCTGGCAATTTTGTCAATAAACTCAATTGTTTATGGTTTTTGATACTATGGTAAGTGGAACTGTTTTTAATTTATTTTCCAATTATTCATCACTAGAATACAAAAATGCAATTAATTATTTTTGTACTTTTGAATTTGTAACCTACAACCTTGCTAAATTCATTCAGTTCTAGTGTAGCAGGGGTTGGGGTATCTTAGATTTT